TCAAATCCAACAGCACATAAAACAAATTATATACTGTGACCAAGTGGGATCATGTAGGTATGCCAGGCTGGGTCAACATTTGAAAATCAATTAATATAACCTATCATATCAATAAGTCAAAGAAGAAAAATCATAATGATCATTTCAATAGAAGCAGAAAAATCATTTGATAAAACCCAAGACCCATTCATGATAAAAACTTTCAGTAAACTAAGAATAGACGGGAACTTCCTCAACTTGATAAAGAATATCTACAAAAAGACCTTATGCCTAACATTGCACTTAATGGTAAAAAGCCTGAAGCATTCTCACTAAGATCAGGAACAAGGCAAAGAAGTCTCCCTCACCAATGTTTTTCAACATCATAACGGAAGTCCTAGCTAACGCAATGAAGAAGACCACAAAATAAAAGGTACACAGATTAGGAAGAAATAAAACCGTCTTTGTTTGCAGATGACATGATTGTCTATGTAGAAAACCCAAGAGAATCAATTAAACCCTTCTCCCCACCCGTAGAGCTCAAAAGTGATTATAGCAAGATAGCAGGATGCACAGTTAATATGCAAAAACCAATTGTTTTCCTACACATGCTAACAATGAACAAGTGGAATTGAAATTGAAAACATGATTCCATGTACCTTAGTACCCTCTGGAAATGAAATACTTAGGTAGAAATCTGACAACATATGTACAAGATCTCTATGAGGAGAAATAAAACTCTGTTGAAAGAAATTAAGTAACTAAGTCAAAGGAGGATATTCCATGTTCTCGGATGTCAAGATGTCAGCTCTTTCCAGCTCGATCTGTAGATTCCATGTAATCCTAATCAAAATCTAAGCATTGAGACGCCTGGGTGGCTCAGCGGGTTAAGCATTTGCCTTTGGCTCAGGTTGTGACCCCAGGGTCCTGGGATTGAGTCCTGCAATGGGCTCCTTGCTCAGCAGGGAGCCTGCTTCTCCCTCTGCCTGCCAATCTCACTGTTTGTGTTCTCTCTCTCTCTCTGACAAATAAATAAAATATTTAAAAAAAACTTTTAAAAATCCCAGCTTTATCTTCTAGATCAACACTCTTCATAAAGTTTCCATGGAGAGGCAGAAGACTGAATCGACCACGCGATACTAAAGTAGAAGAACAAAGAGGACTGACACTACTTGAAGTCTTCCTCTAGGGCTGCAGTAAGCAGACAGTGTGGTATTGGTGAAAGAATAGACAGACAGATCAAGGCGACAGAATGGAGAGCTCAGAAACAGTTTTATATAAATATAGTCAACTGATCTTTGGCAAAGGAGCAGAGACAACACAAAGAGGCACAGATAGTCTTTTTGACAACTGGTGCCAGAGCAGCTGGACATCTGCATGGAAAAAGAAATAAACCTAGACACAGACCTTACACCTCCCACAAAAATAAAATTAAAATGGATCAGAGACCTCAATATGGAATGCAGATTATAAAACTCATAGAAGATAACATAAGAGAAAATCTAGATGACCTTGGGCATGGCAATGACTTTTTAGACATAACTCCAGAGGCGGGATCCATGAAAGAAATAATTGATAAGCTGGATTTCATTAAAATTAAAAACTTCTGCTCCGTGAAAGACAATGCCAGGAGTATGAGAAGACAAGTCACAGACTGAGAGCAGTATTTGCAAAAGATACATGTGATAAAAGATTTATTTCCAGGGGCGCCTGGGTGGCTCAGTGGGTTAAGCCTCTGCCTTCGGCTCAGGTCATGATCTTAGGGTCCTGGGATCGAGCCCCGCATCGGGCTCTCTGCACAGCAGGGAGCCTGCTTCCTCCTCCCTCTCTGCCTGCCTCTCTGCCTACTTGTGATCTCTCTCTCTCTGTGTTGAATGAATAAATTTTAAAAGAAAAAAAAAGATTTATTTCCAATATACAGAAAAATTCTTAAACACTCAACAATAAGGTAACAACCCTTATGGGCCAAAGATTTTAACAGACTACCTCTCTGCAGAAGATATATGGATAGCAAATCAGCACATGAAAAAAATGCTCTACATCATATGTCATCGGGGAAATGCAGATTAAAACAATAAGATACCACTACACACTTACCAGAATGGCCCAAACCCAGAACACTGACAATACCAAATGCTAACAAGGATGTGGAGTAACAGGAATTCTCATTCATGCTGGTGGTAATGTAAAGTGGTAGAGTCGTTTTGGAAGTTGGCAGTTTCTTGCAAAACTAAATATACCCTCACCATACAATCCAGTAATCCTACTCCTTGGCATTTACCCAAAGGAGTTTAAAACTTACATCCAGACAAAAACCTGCGGAGGGATGTTTATAGCAGCTTTATTCATAGTTGCCAAAATCTAGAAGCAACTGAGATATCATTCAGGTAGGTAAGTAATAAATAAATTGTGACCCATACAGACAACGGAATATTGTTATGGCTAAGAAGAAATGAGCTATCAAGCTATGAAGAGACATGGAGGAAGGTTAAAGGCTACATACTGTACGATTCCAACTGTATGACGCTCTGGAAGAGGCAAAACTATGGAGACCGTAGAAAAGATCAGTGTTTGCCAGGGGTTAGGAGGGAAGAAGAGATGAATAGGCAGAGAACAGATGATTTTTAGGGTAGTGAAACTAATCTGTATGATATTACAATGATAGATGCAGATACATGCCATTATTCACTTGTCCAAATCTATAGAAGGTACAACACTAAGAATCCTTATGTCAATTACGGACTTTGAGCAATAACTATGCGCTAGTGCAGGTTAATCAACAGTAACCAATGCATCACTCTGACTGGAAATGTTGATGGTGGGGAGGAGACTATGCACATGGATGAAATGGGTATATGGAAAATCTCTTGTACCTTCTGCTCAATTTTGCCATGAACCTAAAACTTCTCTAAAAAAATAAAGTCTATTAAAAAAATCCAAGGCACAAATGTGCTTGGCTTGTTCCAGAAATAGCAAAGAAACCACTGTGGTTTTACTCTAGTGGAAGAAAGGAATGGAAAGAGAGGCAGGGGCCAGGCCACATAAGGCCGCTCAGGCCAAAGGAAGAAGTGTGAAAATATGGGTGTGTAGAGCCATTTAGTGTCCCCTAATGACGTGTTTTTGTGAAGATGTAATGAAATAGAAATAGTTGATGGTTATAACGATTATGTAACTTATGAATAATATGCTCCGTTTTCTAGATAAAACTTTTTTTTTTTGAGATTTTATTTATTTGACAGTGAGAGAGGGAACACACGTAGGGGTAGGGAGAGGGAGAAGCAGACTTCCTGCTGAGCAGGGAGCTGGATGCGGGGCTCCATCCCATGACTCCATATGATACCACGATCCCATGATACCATATCATGACCTGAGTTGAAGGCAGCCGCTTTACAACTAAGCCACCCAGGCACCCCACTAGAGAAATCTTTTAAAAACGTGTTACTCTCTATGTCCCTGAGCGAACACTTACAAATTTCTAATACTTGAGCACATTTAAAAAATATCCAAGACCCTAAGGGGCATTTCCAGCCACTCAGGTGCCACACAGCCAGGCACCATAGACAGCCTGTCCCTGTCCTTCACCAAACCTGATGACTGGCCTCCCATCAGACTCCTACAAACTGAACACTTGCATGGGCATTAGTACTGCAAACAACCTCTGACATCCAGTAGCTCCTCAACCACTGTTTCTAAGGAGCAGCCCAACCTGCCTGTAAAAGACATCACCTCAAATTCCTGGAATTTCCATACCTGAAATAGATTTTCAGTCTCTCTGTTTCAAAACCTGAAGCATTGCAAGTTTCATGTTACTTAATTAACTCTTTAATCTAAAAAAGTAGCTACCAGATGAATAGTAAGGTTGAAATTCAACGTATTTATCCTAAATATTCTAGATTAGGTTCTCATAATTAATAAGTAAAATCAATTATATTTTAGGTGTTTCATAAATGTTGACTTCATGTTTCCGACCACATAAGTTGTTGACATTGAAATTCAGTGACCTCTGTTGCTTACTGTTAAGAAGGATCGTAACCCAGAATTTTCAGCTAAAAATGCTGTAATTCAGAATTTGCTTACAGAGTTGAATTAAGGTTTTTGTATTAGGGATAAACACTGTGGGAGTAATTCTGGTATACTAGGTTGGTGGTTTTGTGCAAGATGCTTAGAATACCACAGCCCTTCCTTAGAATAATTGTAAACTCTTCTGGCCTGTTTCCCAGATTTGCTTGAAAAGGGTCAGAGGACAGGCTGAAATTAATGGCATATGAATTGTGAATCCCAATTAGAGGTGTCTTCAAAGGAATAATTAGGCTAGACTTAATAATTATGAGAAGAAAACGCTTCGGGCAAATTACACAGAGAAAGAAAAGATGTGAAACAAGGCGACTTTGGAGATTGGAGTTGATTAATAATTCAGGAAGTGATTTTTTAAAAATCTACTTATCTTAAAGATAATATAAATTGAGTGAGACAAAGATGAATGGAGAGACATGGTCACTGATCTCAGATTAGGAGTTAGGTGTGAAGACGGGGGTCCCTTCAGGTGCATATGCTCTGGGACTGTGATTTTAGGATCCCTATTCTGTTTACGAAGGAGGACAGGGTTTTTGCCTTCCCAAATAACAGTAACATTAGCAAGAGCGGCAGCAAACACCTGAACTGTACTCCCCATTGTAGAGTATCTGCCATGTATTAATCTCTCCCTTTCATTTTCCTCATCTGTAAATTAGGGACTACGTGATTTTCGAATCCCACAACCACCCCAGGAGGGAGGTACAAGTGACTTGCTCAAGGTCATAACCTAGGTGGTGTCAGAAGGCAGACTCGAACCCAACAGCCTGACTCCGAACTGAAAGCTCTCTCTCGTCCCCTGCGCTACCTGGTCTCGGGGAGGAGAAGGGACACATTCAAAATGCCAGCTCCCCGTGCCCACTTATATTACTGTAAACTCTCCTACACCGACACCTCCTCCCACCCTCGCCCTTAGCCTCTTAATTTGTCAAGCACAACACCTTCCTTACTTTGCTCGAGTCATCCTCCTCCCCTTCTTGCCAGAAGGTTCCAGCGGGTGGAAGATGAAAAGGAGCGGACAGCGCCGGGCACAGGCATCTTGTTTTTCTTCTTGGTGCTGTCGCTAATATCCACTGAAAATCCTTCATTAGATGTGTAGCTAAATTATTCTAGAAGCACTCACTGAGCACTCAGAGTAGGAACGTTTGTCAGGAATGCGACTATTAATTTACTTTCTAGGATACGTTTTTTTAATCTAAGAGCCCAAACAATTCCCACACAAGGTTTCTGAGTGGAAACCTTCACCCGGCGCCTGACGGCGCGCCGCGGGCCGGGAGGGGGCAGTGGCGGCCGCGGAGTGGGCCCTGTCGGCGGGTGCGGCGGCTCGGCCATCGCTTGCTCTCGCCTGGCGCGCGGCTCTCGGCGGTGGATTAGCGCAGCTGGGTACGTGGGAGGCCGCGGGCCCCGCCCCCAGCCGGCGGCGGCGGTGGCGGCCCAGCTAGGCAGTCGGCGCTGCGAGCTGAGCGGCGCGGAGGGCGCGACCGGCGGGCCGGGGCGCGGGGCTGCGCGCTGTCTTTTGGGCTCCGTTCCGCGCGCCGGGGCGCGGGCGACACCGCGGACCCCTCGGGCGGGCCCCGGGCTCGCGGCGTAGGGAGTCGGGGGTCGCCCGCCGGGGCCCCGGGACGATGGCGCTGCGCGCCCGGGCGCTGTACGACTTTAGGTCGGAGAACCCGGGTGAGATCTCGCTGCGGGAGCACGAGGTGCTGAGCCTGTGCAGCGAACAGGACATCGAGGGCTGGCTCGAGGGGGTCAACAGCCGCGGCGACCGTGGCCTCTTCCCAGCCTCGTACGTGCAGGTGATCCGCGCCCCGGAGCCTGGCCCGGCGGGCGACGGCGGCCCGGGAGCCCCGGCTCGCTACGCCAACGTCCCGCCTGGCGGCTTCGATCCCCTGCCCGCCGCGCCGCCCGCCTCCTTCAAGCCGCCGCCCGACGCCTTCCAGCCGCTGCTGCAACCGCAGCAGGCGCCGCCGCCGAGCACCTTCCAGCCGCCGGCCGCGGGCTACCCGTACGGCGGGGGCGCCCTGCAGCCGTCGCCTCAGCAGCTCTACGGCGGTGGCTACCAGGCCAGCCAGGGCAGCGACGATGACTGGGACGACGAGTGGGACGACAGCTCCACGGTGGCCGACGAGCCGGGCGCGCTGGGCAGTGGCGCGTACCCGGACCTCGACGGCTCATCGTCCGCGGGCGGGGCGGCCAGCCGCTACCGTCTGTCCACGCGCTCCGACCTGTCACTGGGGTCCCGTGGCGGCTCGGCGCCCCCGCAGCACCATCCGTCGGGGGCCAAGAGCTCGGCCACTGTAAGCCGCAACCTCAACCGCTTCTCCACTTTCGTCAAGTCAGGCGGCGAGGCCTTCGTGCTGGGCGAAGCGTCTGGCTTCGTGAAGGATGGGGACAAGCTGTGTGTGGTGCTGGGGCCCTATGGTCCCGAATGGCAGGAGAACCCTTACCCATTCCAGTGCACCATCGATGATCCCACCAAACAGACCAAGTTCAAGGGCATGAAGAGCTACATTTCCTACAAACTGGTCCCCACGCACACGCAGGTGCCGGTACACCGGCGCTACAAGCACTTCGACTGGCTGTACGCGCGCCTGGCCGAGAAGTTCCCCGTCATCTCGGTGCCGCATCTGCCCGAGAAGCAGGCTACCGGCCGCTTCGAGGAGGACTTCATTTCCAAGCGCAGGAAGGGCCTGATCTGGTGGATGAACCACATGGCCAGCCACCCGGTGCTGGCGCAGTGCGACGTTTTCCAGCACTTTCTGACCTGTCCCAGCAGCACGGACGAGAAGGCCTGGAAACAGGGCAAGCGGAAGGCCGAGAAAGACGAGATGGTGGGCGCCAACTTCTTCCTGACTCTGAGCACGCCCCCCGCCGCCGCCCTCGACCTGCAGGAGGTGGAGAGCAAGATTGACGGCTTCAAGTGCTTCACCAAGAAGATGGACGACAGCGCGCTGCAGCTCAACCACACAGCCAACGAGTTCGCGCGCAAGCAGGTGACAGGCTTCAAGAAGGAGTATCAGAAGGTGGGCCAGTCCTTCCGCGGCCTCAGCCAGGCCTTTGAGCTGGACCAGCAGGCTTTCTCTGCCGGCCTGAACCAGGCCATCGCCTTCACCGGAGATGCCTACGACGCCATCGGCGAGCTCTTTGCCGAGCAGCCCAGGCAGGACCTGGACCCAGTCATGGACCTGTTAGCGCTGTATCAGGGGCATCTGGCCAACTTCCCCGACATCATTCACGTTCAGAAAGGTAAAGCCTGGCCGTTAGAGCAGATGGTCTGGAATATGTTGTTGAGGCTGAAAGGGATGCTTTGGACAGAGATACCCTCATCTCTTTCAGACTGTTGTCCTACAGGTTGGAAATCAAACAGGGATGTGGACAGCTGGCCTCTTTTTCTGAGTGTGTGAGGGATTGTGGGCAGGTAGCCGCCTCCTTAAAGTATTTCCAGACAGGGAGTGGGTTACTCTTCAGAGAAAGTTCTGAGAGTACTTCTTATGACGGTGCTATCATTTTAGAGTTTGAATAGTTGGGTAACGAGCTTCTGGGATCTGTAATCTTGTGCCTAGGGTAGAATTAGAAGAGGACCCAAACCCTGTTAGGCATCCATTTGAACACTGTGGGGTGACTTAGTGATGGGTTTCAGGAAGCACGGAAATAATGGGGAAGGATGGATATCTGCAAATAAAGGTCGGATATCTGCAAGGTAAGGTAAGTCCTATTTCTGCCTTCCACACCTCTCAGTCCCTGGCTTGATGGAGAAATTAGAATCACTTCTCTGAGGTTCTAGCCGGGGTAGTTTAAAAATGTCCTGTGTAGGCTTCTTGCTTGCAGCCATTGTAGAATGAGGTGAGTGGTTCACTCTCACTGCAGGAAGTTTGAAGAAAATTAATCCCTTTAAGTTCAGTCATTTTGAGTTTGGAGTCTGTTAACTAAATTCAAAGAGTATTATTTAGGAAAATGATGTGGGAAACTACAAAGAATGCACAGAATGTGAATATGTCTGAGGGCGGTGCTTCTGTATTCCAGTGAGTGAGCTGCCCAACTGTCAGAGCTTGTTTCATTAGTAGTTGTTAGTGTCTCTAACTTCTGTTAAAGCGCTAAAATTTGGAGATTTTTTTTTTTCTCTTTGAAAATGAATTAGAGCAGTAAAGCCTGGAATGAGAGAACTGGGAGGAGTTGGAGTTAGGGAGGTGGTCTTGGCCTGTGAATGTCCTGTTCAGTGTGGGTGTGGGAGGAGGGAGGGAGTTACCTAGTCTAACTTCCTGTGATGGTGGAAACCTCTTTGGATCACAAAGAGGTTTTTGATCCAAAGTTGGCCTTCAGTAAGGAGGTGCTCACTGCCTTTCTAGGTGGGCCAGTCCAATTATGAACAGTCCTGATCTTTGATACACTCTTCCTTGCACTGAACTAAAATTTGCCTCTCTTGTTTGTCTTTCTCTTCGCTGGAACCACACAAAGTAAGTCTATTCCTCATCCACACATTAGCCCTTTCCACTTTTGGAGACAGCAGTTTTGCTTCCTTTCTCTCTGCTCTTCTTCTCCCACTTCCAGATGTTGGACTGGTATTACCAAGGGGTGGGGGGGGGTGGGGGTCCTTCCAAAGCCTTGAGTGTGTTGTTGGCCCTGCTACAATGCAGCATCCTGAAGCATCTGCGGTACTAATTTTGGTAGAAAGTAGTAACTTTCTTGGCAATTTACATTTTGTAAATGCAGTCTGAGATGGAATTCGATGTTTGAGCAAGGGTACTGAAGCTGCAGCTGCATTCCTCATGCCGTTTTGTGTGTAAATTGCTGTGACTCCTTGACTTTTTTGGCTGGTGCCGGTGGGTGGGACTGACTCTTTGAGCCTTTAATACAAGACCTTATATTTAAATACCATTGTGTTGTATCAACCTGGGCCCATGCTGCCTTTTTACATATTTTGTGAGTTTATGCAAATAGTTGGTAAATAGTTGAAAGGGTGGAGACAGGTACAGACATCTGCAGGCAGACACAGGTGACTGGCTGCTACTGGGCTGCTTCTGTTCATTCACTGACTTCACTGTCACTTAGACCACACACAGCCTTGTCAAGTGTCCTGCTTTTGGAACTATTGATTAGAAAAGGTATGGTGTTTGTTCTAAGGTCGATTTTGAGTTTAAGCAGTAGATTTTGTAGTTTATTAAACTGTGTAGTTTGCTTATTATTATTATTTTTAAATCCTAAAACTAAAATTGTTTTCTGTTTCTTTGGATTTGAAAAACTTCATTAAAGCCTGTATCATTTTATGTTGTTTAAACAGATTCAGGGGCACTAAACAAAATCTTTAGGAAGTTCAAAAAGAAAATCAGTTAATGTTAAGTATAGTTTTTTCTGCTGTAGCCTTAGTGTATAATGTACAGGGAGTGTGTGTCCCTAGGTGACATGTCTTTAGAATGTACTTGCCATTTTAAACCTATAGTGTGCAATGCATAAGGCTGAAAGGATTTGCCTGCAACCAGTTATTATCAAGGATGCTAGTGTTGGCGATTTTTAGGACTACAGATGGAACAGATCTCATAAGTTAAGCTAAAGCTTTTTGAACATGTTCTGAGTATTCAGAACTTGTGGTTGTAAAGAGCAGCTTCCCCCTCCCACCCCGACTTAACTACACAGTTGCTATTGGAATGAATCTTTTTTTTGTCTGAGCACTTGGGGATTTTGTTGACAGGTTGTTTTTTTCCTCTAAGGTCTCAAAGTGTAATCATACGAAAGATTTTTACCATGACTTTTGAGAGGAAAGCAAAATGAAAAAAATGATAAAAAAATTCTATAAGAAGCTTAAGCTATCTTTTGTGTAAGTATTTGGTTCAAAGTTTACATTTCAATTTAGGGAGAAGATTCAAAATAATTATTTCAGCTCTTAAGTTCTCATTGTTTACAGGAAGAGAAAAAGCAGTTTCAGTACTTCTGCATTTTATGTGTTCTACCATATGTTAGGTCCACATTCAGATGAGACAGAAATGATTAGATAGTGCTTTTTAATGACTAACACAGTTAAGAAGGGGAGCTAATTAAGTTTTTTTCCCCTTAATTCCCGGGGGAAAGGATAGGAACATTAGTCTCCTCTGAGCTTTTTTCTTATCTGGGAGATTGCTGTGGTCAGCGTTTCCAGTGTTCTAAACCTGTGCTCTTCGATGCTGGGTCTGTGAGCCACATCTGACCACTTGAATGTAAGTTAATTAAAATAAAATAATGTAATTCAGT